ATTTATCACGTACAAATAATTATACAAAGTTCTAACTTTTATATTATAAGCAACTATTATAAGCAATTTTTACCACGATGATTTTTATTCGATTATGGAAAAGATATTAATATTATAAATTAATATTATACTTGAAATAGAAAAAATACAAACATTTTTTTAGGTTAGCATAATGTCAATATTGTGTGTTGCGATAATGACATAAAAATATCAATCGTATAATAATTTTTCAATTTGTTATTGATTAAATACCTGAATTAATTTCTTCTTTTTTCGTGAAATTGAAAGATAAAAGCGATTAAAATAGATACACGAAGGGATGTAACATACTTGACATTTCAGTGTGAGCCTTCTATCGGAAAGAGAAGCTAGACAAATCGATATATATCAAGTGTACAAATCGATATATCGTTCGAGATTAACCGGAACTGGCAGCATAATGAAAACTTTATATAAATTTATTTTAATTTTCACATTAAAAAGATAATTCTCTCGTGTGAAATTATAAATTTTTATTTTGTCCTGTAAAATCTAAATATTATATATCACCATAAAATTTAATATGTGGATCTGTTCGTTTTAGTGATTCAGGGAATGCAACTTTATTGCTTGAATGTGTATGTTTATTATACAGAATATAAATTTTAGATATTTGTTAATAGTAAAATGTTAAAATATTTTTTGTATGGATCAAAAGTTTTGTATAGATTGAAATTTTCAAATAAGTTGTATAAATTTATAGTATGTTTAAAAATAAGAGTTATTAAGAAGGGCGCTGTGGCGCCTATGAAATTACAAAACAAAGTATTAAAGATGAGAAAAATCAAGTATATTTTAAAACATCAAAAAATAACGTTATAAATGATATTTAGGAAACTGTACATTAGAAATTTACATAAAATATAAGTGAAACATGAATTACAAAATATATTTTTTCTAAAAAATACTTCATAAATTATATTTGATTGTATCATTAATCATCGTAATATTTTACATCATAATTTTATATTAAGTATTAAAAAATGCGTCTGTATTAATCACTAGAAATATAGTTGCTGAGTGGGTGTAAAATGAATACGCCTATCGTCATAAATAATGAAGAAAAAGTAAGTAAAGAATACGCATATTCTTCATGTAATTAATATTTGGATAATTATTATCGATTGAAGTAATACAAAATTGAAATATGTACAATTTATATTAACGAGTATGTGAATTTGAATTTAAATCATTGCAATATCTGTCACGTTACACGATAACATATAGTTGAAATATCTTTGAATTTGATCTATTTTCCTTATACTTCATTATTATTTTATTTTCCAGATGGAGTAATATTTGGGGATATATTTACATATATCTTTGAACAAATACATTTCGATTGATATCCATGTATAATGTGGAATATTTATATACACATTTGTACATTTTGGATTATCTATTTACATATATTAATTTTGTTAAAAGTTTTTATCAAGTAACATTTATACTTATAAGAAAAAATGTATAACAATATGAATTTCATGTATAAATTGTGATCTATTGTAAATTTGTCATATCATATCGCTCTATATATAATGCATCTTGATTATAAAAAAAATTTTAAACATTGATACTATATTTTATAAAAATGCATTTTTCTATACCAGATACACAAGAATTTATTGATACAGCTGGTTCATATGTGGTAAGTATGTTTCTTTTACAACGCATGTTATTATATATTAATTTATCTATTTTATTTTAATTTTCAGGGTTACAATATTTATATAAATGGACTATTTCATTGCACTGTGAGATATAAACAACTGCATAGTCTTCATGAACAATTAACAAAAGATTTGGATATATCTCTTCCAACATTTCCACCTAAAAAGTTTTTTTCTCTAACAACAAATCAACAAGAGGCACGTCGTCTTTCTTTGGAAAAATATATTCAAACAATCGGACAAAATCCAGTTGTTAGTAATTCAGGAATATTAAATGGATTTTTATTAAATGCACAACAAGAAACTATTGGAGGCCCATCTAATAATGAATTTATAGACATATTTCTTATGAATGGCTGTAAAATAACTATAAATGTTTCTACAGCAGATCATTCTGGTAGTGTTTTAGAGGTAACTTTTCTTGTATATCAAATTATGAATGTATAAAGTAATTAAGAACGAATTAACATATTTTATTTAACAGAAGGTATACAAAAGTCTTACGCTACCTGAACAATATTATTCATATTTTGTATTATTTATTGTTGCTCAAGATGAAACAAACGGTATTCATCGTAAGTACATCTTTGTTACAATATTTCATACATGATTAATGAATACATTATTCCTTATATCTTATTTTTAGTACTACGAAAATTGCAAAATTTTGAGTCTCCATTTATAACTATTAAGCATCTACACATTATAGGAAGTAGAATTGTACTTGGGAAAAATTATTGGGATGTGGGATATGATCTTAAATTAATGAATGATGAAGTGGCAATGAATTTATTATATATTCAAGCAGTTGCAGAAATTCAATGGGGATGGATTCTTGTTACAGATGAATTAAAAAATCAGTTAACTGATTTACAAAAGCATGGAAAGAAAAAAGAAGTATGTTTATGTATATATCTGTACATAGATTACGGATGTTTAAGCAAATGCAAATTTTAAATGCACATATGTAATATACAAAATAATTGAAAGACACATATTGTTTTTATATTTATTTCATTGTATTTGACTGCAATCATGGGTGAATAAAATTGTCAAATTGTCATTACGTGACATTAGCGTAATATACATAATTACATAATAATACAGTTTCTATTTCTTACTGGTATTGATATCAAATAATAGGTGAAAGTGATAATATTAATGACATAATTGCTCAGAATATATTATAACAAGCACAAGTTGCCCAAACTCTATGTTTGTTAAAGCATATTTTTGGTATACATTTACTTATTGTCCATGCATATTTGTTAATTTTTGATATGCTTTTTATATGTTTTTCGTACATATTTGTATATACTTTGTGCATTTTTATGTGTATAAACATTCACAGTCTATCTATACAATGTAAAAAAAAATAATTAACAACTAATATTAAATTTAAATGTGATTATTTTAGTATCTGGATATAGTACGTGTTTCAAAATACCATGGGTATATTCAGTTTGCTCCATGTTTTTGTGATTATCCTCAACCAAATTCAAAAGTATTAGTTGCTATAGGTAGAAATGAATTAAATTTGCGTATATTATGTGATGGGAAACAATGTGAAGAAGTATTTAAGGTTTCACGAATGCGCTGTTGGCGTATAACTACATTGCAAAATGTAAATAATTGTAAAAGAAAGATATATTTTAATACATGTCAATAGTAATTTTAATATTATAAAACATGTTTCAGTTTATTTTAATTTTAGGGATCTGAAAGAGGCGATGAAGAAAGTGATGATTTTAGTTTAGAATTGTCTTTTGAATATTTAATAGCTAAAAATCAATTACAATGGATTACAATTACTTCAGAACAAGCTATTTTAATGTCTGTATGCTTGCAAGCTATGATTGATGAATTATTATCAAAGACTGTTGATAGTAATAAGGCTCAGGTTAATAAAAAATATTAATTACTAAGTAAAGTTATTTGTTTTTGCTAAACATTAGATATCTTGTTCATAGGAGATACCTCAAAAATCCTGGACCTATGTTATGAGAAATGGCCAAAGTATTATAATAGGATCAAGCTCCAATGAGGAATCTGAAGAAAGTAAAAAGGTATGATAATTTGATATTTATTTATTTATTTATTTATAATTTGATATTTTATTTATTTATAATATTGGTTTTTATTTTAGAATCGTTGTATTACACAACCTTCTAAATCTGAACCAATTATGAAGAAACTTGTGGACAGATTCTCAGTAGTAAAAGTAAAAAAACCTAGTGATGTTAAAATTAATACAAGAGGCAAGGTTCAAGGAAAACAAACAGTGGAATACGATATGGAAAATAATGCATTTCGTATGATCGGTGATGAAGACTTATAAATATACTGGAACTATAAGATGGAAATATATCAGAAATGTCTTAAATTTTTTAAATTAATATTTACCTCATATTTTTGCTATTATTTTTAATTTTCAAATAATGTAAAATATGAAACTTAAATATCGACAGACTTGTAACAATTGTACGATATATAAATATATTGTTGATAATAAAAAAAATTGCAAATTAATGCAAATATTTCGTGAAACAAATAAACAAAACTAAAATAAATTGTAGTATTTATATTTTATTATTGTTAAAATCAAATATGTAAAAGGCAGTGTCATATTAACAGATGTATTTCATTTTACTTCATTTTAAATGAAAATTAATATAATATGTTACTTTAATACTAAATAAGAGTAATTCATAGGTTACGCTGTATGATGAGATTATAATACTAACTAGATAGGTAATTGCTTGTTCGAAAGACAATTTTCTGCCTTCAGTCTGTATATTTTGCCCAAACATATAGAGAATGGTACAATTTATAAGAAAAACGTAAAATTAGAACGCCTTTCTAAACAAATAATTAGAAACTGTAATATAAAAGGACAGTATTTTCTAACATGAAAAGTAAACAAATTCGCTATTGTCCTATGAAATAGACTTCTACATGTGTATATTATTGTATATTCATAAATATCATAGATCTCTATTTCATGGACTATTTAAGTTTTTATAGAAAAAAATTTTTATCGCGTTTTTTTAATGTTAGATAATAGGTAAATATATGGAAATGCATAACTATTTTTTACAATATTACTTCCGCATAATTTTTTTTTCATTTTATAATACACGTAGAAGATGAACATAAAAAATTTGTTACTACAAACGTATTTATATTCTATTAAATGTGTAATTCTGTATGAGTAAAATTTATTTGTTTCTGTTAGAATATTGCAACACGTTTATATATTGTATGTCGCAGTGATTGGTGCGCTCTATTTTTTTTCTTGAACAGTAATTATACTCTTTTTGAAGAATATCACTTATCCAATTTTCTTATTGAAAATACTATTGTTTTAATAATCTTGTGTGTCATGGTAGGGCCATATAAAGACTAGATTTAATAATTAATATTTAAATCTTTTCTGACCATAATGTGCATATCTTCTATATCAAAAATATGTTGTTATTCTGTATTGTTACTTCCTAAATAAAGAAAAAGTCAGTTCTGGCTATAGCATTTAAGTATTATAAATCTATTTCTGCTACTTGTAAAATAGCCTAACGTCAGCAAAGAATTACGCCAGTCATTATGTCATAATATTCATGACGAGTGCATTCAACATGCATTACGTATGACTTATAAAATGTGTATTGAAATTTTTATCGATACAAAAAATAATGATAATATGAAAATTTTAAATATTATAATGAAAAATGTGTTTTACTTACTACTTAAATGTGTTAAAAATTATATTATAATTTATATAGGTCTAACAAATATTACGAGTCTTGCCATTACTTTATGCCTATTATCTCAACAATTTAAAGTATTGACTTAACAAATTATTGAAATATCAAAATACGTTCTAATACGGAAGACTAATTTTAAATTGATTTGTCAAGTATTTCATTCTTACCGTAATTTCGCATGGTGCAATAATATTACTAAAATATTTTTGATTTGTAATTATATCAGCAGATAAACATTTAACATATCTATGGCAGTAAAAAAAGAAAAAATTTTTCAATATGTTCTAAGCTCATTATTTTGTTTAAAATTGTTTCATAAGTAAACAACAAATTAGCGTATAAGATTATACAAATATATTTTCGGACTAACTTCCGCGCGTATGTTTCGTATGAGTGATGATATTGATAATGTAATATTATCAGTAAAATAAATGGCATAATACGTGACTAGCATAAAATGAAAATAAAATATCAATTTCACAATTTCTTTTTACACCAAAAATAAAATTGCGAACATATAATTATTTTCATTTATATTGTCAATCTGTGAGTTACTTTTAATTTAAAAAAAAGAATGTTGAAGCGATTTTATAATATTTCTATAATAATAGCATAACAATACATAGATAAACATAATGACAAAAAATTAAGTATGATTACTTGTTCACCTAAATCATGTATAATTTACATTGGTGACGTGAGGCTATTGGCTAGTATTAGTTACTCGTACTTGATTCCAAAAGAGATAAAACATTGTTTCAGAAGAAAATACTTTTAATTGTTATTACTCATTTTTTTTCAGGTAGACATTTAGCCAGTAAACAATGTTCTTCTCTTTGATGAAACTAAGAACAAGATGAATAAAATCTATTCATTTATACAACTGTACACCCTTTATCTATCATCATCACACTTATTTGCATAAAAAAAAGTAATCAAACTGTTAGAAGTTCTGCTGACGTTTTCGCTTCGTATCCATGGCGTCAAGAATCGGTTGTCTCTTCGTTTGGTACCTTCTTCTCAACTCATCAATTTCTCTTTCCATTTCTGCATCCAGATTAGCCATTCGTTGCTGTAGTTCCTCGTACGAGAGAAACTTCAGCTGCAGGATATGGTTGTTTATCTATATTCAAGTTCTCTTTAATGATGCCTAAAGTGGCACTATATTGATCGAACTTAAGTACTAAGAAAGTACTAGAATAATCCTTAATCAAACTTTTAATCTCCTGTAAGAATTTGTAAGTGCATTATTACTTACGAAATCGAAATCACGTTCTGTGAAAACATTTTGAAACTTGGATATGTTATTATGAGGTTGTTCTTGTACAGGATGAGAAATCTGGTTGAGTTGTAATTGTAGATGACTTTGAAACCTCTGAGATTCTGTAGGGCTTCGTAATTCTAATTTATTTTCATTATCTTGATTGTGTACTCCAAGAATTTGTCCATTTCCCTAGTAATTAAGGAATCAATTTTATGCATATACGTATATTTTACAAAATATACATAGTATGATATACTTATTATCTTATACCTTTCCTATTTCAGGTGCTTCCTTCTTATCGAAATGATCTAAAAATAGTGGTCGATATTTTTTTCCGGATTCCACTGATCCTGTATTGTGTCCTATAAATAAATGACATTTATTACCTTTTTTTCTTTGTTAATGTCTTGTCGTGTTTCGTTATATCATATGCTTACGTTTCATAGTAGCTTCGGTATCAGTGTCACTATTAATAACCATTGTTCCCAAGTCTAACATTGCTGAAACAAGTGTACCTGTATCTGGAAGATCATGACTCGGTACTAAAGTTCCCGTGTCTTCTGGCAGAGGTTTCATTGTTCCACTACAGTCTTCTTCGTCCTTGTAACAAACATCAAATATTTACTATGAATTTTAGCACATGTACATACACACATATAATAAATTCCATAAATAAATATCAGTATAAATAAATACCGAATCTTCTGTTTGATTTTGATTTTTAATTGCCACATTATTTATAACATGAGCACGATGTACGCTTTGTTTTTCCCGTATTTCATGAGCCTCCGCAATCATTTGACTTAGAATACTTGGTTGCTTTGCATTACCTGTAATAAAATATCATGTTGAATAGTACATGTAAAAAAACAAAAACGAGTTTGTTTCACTATCATAAATGTTACCTATAAATTCGTGATTTAGCAACTCAGTTGCTGTAGCTCTTTCTTCTGGATTTTTAACAAGGCACCCACTGACAAAATCTATAAATTCAGGACTCCACTGATCAGGTTCTCTAAAGCTAGGTGGTGGTTTAGTTGGAATCATAAATATTGCTCTCATTGGATGTATGTCACCATATGGTGGTTTGCCCTCTGCCATTTCTAAAGCAGTTATACCAAGAGACCATATGTCTGCGACGCAGTCATATCCAATTTCTTGTATAACTTCTGGAGCCATCCAAAATGGAGTTCCTATAACTGTATTACGTTTTGCCATTGTATCCTAGAAAATTTGTTTTCCAATCATCAGTTTCTAATTTGATTGATTAAAAATTATACATATATGTAAAAATTATATTTCATAGCTTACAGTTAATTGTCCTGCTACTCCAAAATCAGCTAATTTTGCATGTCCTTCATTATTGAGTAAAATATTTCCTGCTTTAATGTCTCTATGTATTTTCCTTCTTAAATGAAGGTATTCTAAACCTTTTAAGGTATCACTGAGAATCGTTGCTATTTCATCTTCTTGAAGGGTTTTCTTTCTTAACCTCATGATATCACTAACAGATCCAGCTCCACAATATTCCATTACAATCTATGAAATCACATTGTGATTACATATGTAAGAGACATAAAAAAATATGTTTGTTACGTTATTAATATTTGAAGTTACCCATAAATCTGTGTTTTTAAAGTAACTTCCATAATATTTAACAACATACGGAGAATCACACTGCTGCATGATAGAAATTTCTTTTATAATTTCTTGTAAATCTGTATCAACAGGCACTTGTTTAATAGCAAGTACCTGTCCACTTTCTTTATGTAGTGCTTTGTAAACTGATCCATAGGATCTACATGAAAATGAAAGATATTAAAACAATTTATGTAAAATGATTTTAAATGTCATTTTACTTCTTTATTTACTTACCCTTCTCCTAACTTGCATATTATATCAAATACTTCTTCAGGTTGTCTCGTTAAACTTTCTTCAGATAACTTTTTTAATTCACTAAAAAAATGTTGATATCTGATTAGTGAGATAAATGATATTTGTAACACATGATATGTAAAAATACTTGCATGTACTTTTTTTATTCTCACTATGTACATAGATGATATGTTACATATATCTATATTGTTTCTATTAAAATTAAACTATAAGTGTATTAGACAAATAGATTTGACGATATCGAAAGAAATCAAAAGACTGGCGAGACTAATATTTTTCAAAATTATTTACAAAAACTAAAGTAATTTTAGATATAATAAATAATATGAATAAATTGATAATGCAGGTTAACAAAGAAAGAAAGAATCGATACTGTACAATTGTTTCATATAACAAGAGAAACGAGCTACAGATCGAAAGGCGACTCCTTCTGGCTACAAATAACTTCCATCTATAATTTCGTAAAGTTCTGCAAGTTTAAAAACACGAAGGAAAAACAATTAAATACCTCTTCGAAGACATTTTCACTTATTATGTCAACTTGAGTTCCTACTTGAATAAAAACACCTTCAATATTTACACAAATAACTTAATATGGATAAAACAGATATCATTCCGGTTGTAAAAACATAGTCAATTTAAAATAGAAGTGTTACATTTTTGTCAATAAATTAAAGTAACCATACAACCGAAATATCGAAACCATTGACTATTCAATCTTTTAGATAGCAGAACTAACAGATCTGAAATGTTTCAGAATCCAGGAGAGTTCCACTGCCATCTTATTTTACAAGCGACGAAGGAACAAATAAAAATAGAAAAAAAAGATACAAGATATAAAGATACAATTTTTATTTCGAATGATTAATCATTTCATTTTCAATGAATGAAGTCGTCAATGTAAATTATATAAAAAAAAAAACTCAAATAAGCGGTGCTCAATCAGCTGGCTACAAAACTACACGACGTACGTGATCGCAGTTTTTTTAATTTTGTAAATTATAATTTAAGTATGAGATTATAGTATCATTCAAACGATAAACGAGGGAAAGTGGTTTTGCAAATATGCTTAAAAATGTGTTGTTTTTTTATTTTTGCTGCTGTCAACGTTGGGTTAACTTAAATTTGACATTTAAGTAAAATAAAAAGAGAAGATCAGTATGTATCTCACAGCGCAGGAATACAATGACATAAATTAAAATTTTCTTATTCTTGTGTAACTTTTTCTTATTTTGCTAAATTTTTGAAATCTTAACGCAAGAGAATCGATTAATAAAAACTTCAAGGTTATGCTCATTTTAAAAAGCTATCAAAGACAGGAGGAAAAAAACGCGCGTTTTTCGATATTTTTATAATTACGTTCGTTGAATTGATTGAAGGGTAATAACGAAATAGTATTATTCTCGTTCAAAAATGACTTTATTTTTGTAATTAGAAAGCCATTTCAACGACAGGAAAGTTACTTGATCGAAGATATGCGCCAAGATTTTGAAAATACCACGGATATGACATAGTAGGAGTATTAGCCAGCAGATGGCGCGGAAAGTGGAGCAGTTGAATAGATCAGAGTTTCTACTCCCTGTACGTAATCGCGTGTCCACGCACGGTGAACGTTAGCACTCGTTTGCTAGACGGCCGGCTAGCAAAACGAGTCGATTTCTCCTGGTGCGCGATTTCGTGGTAAGAGGTAGAGGAGACATTACTCATTTGAGGGTATTGTCAAAAGTAGTATTACAAGGGGACCTTGTGATAGTTGAAACGACGGTGGCAGCGACGACGAAGACGACGACGACGACGACGACGGCGGCGGCGGCGGCGGAGGTGGCGGTGGCGGTGGCGGCGGTGGTGGTGGCGGCGGCGGCGGCGGCGGTATTGTCCTGCTTGTTTTGTTGTTTCTCGCGAAACGCGCAGGTGGAAAAGAGAAGAGGCTATCGCGTTGTCGAGGGATCGAGGAGTGACGGAGGAGAGCGAACCTGTGTGTCAGGTCAAATAGAGAAGAGACTGGTGGTGCACTATGTACGAATGCCCATAGGTGTACCATAGAAGAGCAAGCGTAGCCTAAACGATAGAGGGAGAGAGGTGGAAAAGAAGATTTAGAACGACGGTGACGAAAGAAAAGAACAGGAAGCAGATAGGATAGACGAGAAGACGGAAAAGGAGGAAAGAAAGAAGAAGATAAGACAGACAGAGAGAGAGAGAGAGAGAGAGAGAGAGAGAGAGAGAGAGAGAG